GGAGGTGGCGCCGGAGCGGCCGGCGAGGAGGAGATCAGCCCCGAGGATGACCAGAGGGCCAACCGCACCTTGTTCCTGGGCAACCTGGACATCACCGTGAGCGAGTCGGACCTGAGGCGGGCGTTCGACCGTTTTGGGGTCATCACCGAGGTGGACATCAAGAGGCCGGGCCGCGGGCAGACCAGCACCTACGGGTTCCTGAAGTTCGAGAACCTGGACATGGCGCACCGGGCCAAGCTGGCCATGTCGGGGAAGGTGCTGCTGCGCAACCCCATCAAGATCGGGTACGGCAAAGCCACCCCCACCACCCGGCTCTGGGTGGGCGGCCTGGGGCCCTGGGTGCCCTTGGCCGCCCTGGCCCGGGAGTTCGACCGCTTTGGTACCATCCGCACCATCGACTACCGCAAAGGGGATTCCTGGGCCTACATCCAGTACGAAAGCCTGGACGCGGCGCAGGCGGCCTGCACACACATGAGGGGCTTCCCTCTGGGGGGCCCGGACCGCCGGCTCCGCGTGGACTTTGCCGACACCGAGCACCGGTACCAGCAGCCCTACCTGCAGCCCCTGCCCCTGCCGCCCCCGGCTCACTACGAGCTCGTGGCAGAGGCGGCTGCTTTTGGGGCTCACCGGGGAGCTCCCCCCGACCCTCTGCGGGGGGCCCGGGACAGGACGCCACCGTTGCTTTATAGAGACCGCGACAGAGACCTTTACCCCGAGACAGAGTGGGTGCCCCCGCCGCCCCCTGTGCGGGACAGGAGTAACCGGGCGGCTGCCTACGACCCACTGGAAAGCCTGGAGCGCCGCCGGGACGGGTGGTCCTTGGAGCGGGACCGCGGGGAGAGGGAGCTGGGCAGTAGCAGTCGGGATCAGCCCAGGAAGCGGAGGCTGGCGGAGGACGGAGGCCGGCACTTGGACCGCTCCCCCGACAGCGAGCGCTCCTCGTCCTCCCGAAAGCGCCACTGCCTGGCCACCAGCTCCCCGCCGGACCGCAGCCCCGAGCTCCTGGGGGGCCGGGAGCGCTACAGCAGCGACCCCGAGCGCTCGTCCCGCCTGCTCCTCTTGGAGCGACCGTCCCCGGTGCGGGAGTCCCGCCGGGGCAGCCTGGAGCGGGGGCAGAACGAGAAGCGCGACCGCAAGAACTCGGCGGAGCGCGAGCGGAAGCACCGCGGCGGTGCCGCCGCCCAGGAGGGCAAGAGCCCGGCCAAAAAGGATGAGCGGGCTGCCCGAGGGTAGGCGGGGCGAGCTCCCGCCCAAACCCCTCCCCAAAAACAGAGCAGACGGGGCGTAGCGCAGGCTGGGGCGGCGCCCAAGCTGTGCTTGGCCTGGCAGGGGATGCTCCTGCTGAAGAACAGCAACTTCCCGTCCAACATGCACCTGCTCCAGGGGGACCTCGGTGTCGCCAGCAGCCTCCTCGTGGAGGGGGCCACGGGGGGGAAGGTGGCCCAGCTCAAGATCACCCAGCGGCTCCGGCTGGACCAGCCCAAGCTGGACGAGGTGAACCGGCGCATCAAGGTGGCGGGGCCCAATGGCTACGCCATCCTCTTGGCCGTGCCCGGCGCGGCGGAAAACCGCGCGGCCGCCGGAGCCGCCGAGCCTGCCACCACCTCCACGCAGAGGCCGCTCAGGAATCTGGTGTCCTACCTAAAGCAAAAGCAGGCTGCAGGGGTGATCAGCCTCCCCGTGGGGGGGAACAAAGACAAGGAGAACAGCGGGGTGCTGCACGCCTTCCCACCCTGCGACTTCTCCCAGCAGTTCCTGGACTCTACGGCCAAGGCGTTGGCCAAATCCGAGGATGACTATCTGGTCATGATCATTGTCCGGGGGGCGTCCTAAGGGCCCTCGTGTTCTGTTCCCAACCCTGCCTACTCCTCCACCCAGCCCCTCCAGCGTGTGCCAGGTGCTATGGGATACAGCCTTAGCCAGCCCTGTTGTTATTTTAATTAGACCTTTGTTTGTAGGTGACTTTCCCAGCCTGATTTTCTGTTACTACGTTTTTCTATAAAGGTAGAAGCCAGAGAGGTTGGTTTAGGCGTAGTGTGAATAGGATATTTTGAGAATTCCCTATCAGTGGGGACAGCAGGGAGGCTAGGCCTGCTTTGATTTACAAAAAAAAATAAAAAAAAAAAATAAGAAAAACGAGAACTGGGGAGGGGGAGGGAGGGGGAAAAGAAAAAACTCCCGTCTTCTTGATTTTGATTCGTGTCCTTTTTTCATTTCATGTTTTTTAAAGCAAGTCCAAGAGCTTGTCCTCCGACAGAGCTCCAAACCCAACAGACCAGGTTTAAAGCACTCGTTGGAAATGGAAAACCACACGTTTAGTGACAGACTGGTGTCAGCCCCTTTTTTGAGCCTTTGAAATTCCGTGTGGGCCTTGGGGATCCCTTCCCCTGGGAGCTGGAATGGTTTCCCCTTTGGGTCGAGTGGATCAAGGTTGATGTTTTACAGGTGAGCAGCACCTGCTCTCGGTGACACAGCAGAACACAGCTCCTTTTGGGAAAGGAATTCCTTTCTCATCCAGCCCTCCCCACCCCCCAGGTGCATGCACTGAAACTGGGCTTTTTCCCAGGTGTACCCCCCCATTTCCCGGTGTATCCCATATGTTTTGGGTTTGTAGCAGTGAGGAGGTTTGGTGACAAGCTGGGAACTTTGTTACAAACCAGGAATGTTGTGCTCACTCCTGTGTGCAGGAAACAAGGAGGTGCTTTAAGGAGAACTTGAGTTCTGTTGTGGGTTTTTGGTTTTACTGCCTTTTTTGTGTTTTCCAAGAATTGCAGGTACAGTGGGGTCTGGTTCCAAACTCTGAGTAAGTAAGTGCTTCTCTCCAGAGATGCTTTTAATTCTGGGATAATTTAATTACATTAAAGTTCTCATTAACATTTTACCTCTTTGTTAATAGCAAGGAACTGCTGTCTGCTAGGGACTCTTCAGGTACAGTGCAGTGGGCATTACATGAGGTTTATAATTTCCTAGGCACCTGGAGGAAAATGGTTTTAGCATCTTGGAGAAGTATTAAAAATACTCCGAGATGCCAAGGTTTGAGCTCTTGTTCCTGTGATTCAAGGATGAAACAGTTCTGCTTTTTTTATTTTTTCTTTTCAAAGAACATAGTTAATTTTCTCTTATTTTTCCCCAATAATTGGGCACTTTTCTTCAGCTGTCTCAGCCACTTTGGTAATCCAGGCATTTAGGAGGGAAGAAGGGATTTAAATCCCTGAGGGGATCTAAATCCCCAGTGCCCTGTTTAACAACCAAAAGGATGTTGCAGCAACTTCTAAACTGAAGTGTAAATCTGACTGTATCCCTTTACAAGCCCCAAAATTGTGATCTTGCACTTAAACCCAGAATGTAATCTTGCACTTAGCCATGTTTTCAGGGATTTGGGCCACGGAAAAGCAACGCTGCTCCAGTAGATTCCTTGGGTGATGGATACAGGGATGGGTTGATTTGTGGTACAACTTGATCACATTCAAAATGGGGAATAGGTTGTGAGTAGGAGATGAAGGAGGAAATGTCTTGAATGTATTGTATGGGTGTAACTGAACTTGCTTGAGTTTCTGCCACAAAAGTAGAAATTTTTGTTACTGAGCCACTTTGATTCCTTTATCTGCCTGGAGCGAGTGGACACCGTGTCCCAAGAACTAAGAATTCCAATGTGGCAGGAGATTCTGGTTTTACAGCTACTTTTCTTTCTAAGTGAGAAGATAAAAGCCTCATTTAATGCTCTTAAATTTGAGGGGTACAACTCAGGAGTTCTGGGTTGTCCTTCAGGGTGAATGTAAGAGATGGCAGAATTCAGCTGTTCAGCTTCCTATTAACAACGAGAATTCTGGGGAATGACACCTTAAATGCAAATCACTGTGTTTTGGAAGATCCAGAGTGTTTACCACTTAATGCAAAGAATGTTTTGGTTGGAGCAGGTGTCTGTTGTGTGTCAGCAGGGGATCAACTCTGTTCAAGTGCTACTTGTGTTCAGAGGGGGTTTTCTCATTGCATCCGACACGAATCATTTGCAGAGTTTTCTAGGAAAGAAACTTGAACCTCTGGGAATTCAAATCTGCCCTAAACCAGGGAAAAAAAAAGCACCAATGTTTGTGTTGGACACTGGAAGTCGCTGGGAGCAGCGTTTGTTCCGCTGAGGCATAGCAGGCACCTGCTTAAAAGCCCATAAAACTTGGGGTCAGCGTGGCTGGTCAAGGCAAACTCAGTGTGGGAAGAGCATCCTGGGTGCTCTTCCACTTTTTCTTGGAAAATCCTGATGGTTTTAACTGCCACTGGTTGTTATGAGCCAAATTGTGCTGCAGTGGAGGGTGAAAAGGAGCAGGTGAGGATGTGTTTGACTCCAGGTTTTCTGGCTCCTTATTTCGTGGAGTATCTCCTTTAAATCTGGTTTATTTGTGGTGGCTGCTCTGTTTTGCAAGCAAGGATTTTAACACCCTTTGAGGGTTCTTATGACAAATAATTGACTGGCAGCACTCTGCCAGCAGTGGATTCCAGTGCTGCCATCCCGCATGGGCTGTGCTTTCCTCCTTGGTCTGAGGGATTCCCCATTGGAGTAACTGTCCACTGAAGTTGTCTTGGCCAGGGCTGAGCATTCAGAAGCCCGTGGGTGATACCACTGTGTGCAGAACAAAGTAGATGTAGCAGTTGTTGCTCTCTCCTTGTGTCTGGCATTCGTCGCTCTGGCGAGAGCTCGGTTTTCCTCCACATTGTGTGCAGCTGATGTTCCTGTATTTCACTAGTGTGTTGAATTAGCCTGGAGAAAGGATGTCCTTTTCCTGAATCATTTCACCCTTGTGCTTTATGCTTTAGGGAAAGAACCTCAAATGACTCATAGTTTTGTTGGAGATTTTAGTTCGTTGGGTTTTTTTTTATTCTTTTAATTAGAAACATTACGCAACTTCCTTGGCCTCCATCCAGTTGCTTTGTTTGCTCCTGCTGAGCTGCTGTGGTGGGAACACCAAGGTTACTCTCAATCCAGAGGTTTTAGGGTCAGAAATACCAACACATCCTTGTCAGCATTGCAGAGAGAAGGGCCAGGCAGACAAATCTTGCCTTCTCTCTCTTGTTTTCCCACGAGGATGTTAAAGATGGAATATTTCGGTGACAACTTTCTCGGCCCCTGTGGAGAGCAGAGAATGAGCTGAAATTTCTTCCACGGGTTTGGGAACCCTCTGGTTGATGGCAACTGAGGTGAAAGGCCTCAAGTGTTAATGGGAGAGGAGGAGTGAATCAAAATTGTGAAGACAGGTTCAAAAACTCTGAGGACTCAGGGAAAAATGGCTTGGAAAATGGTAATTCCTGGCTCTAAGTGAAACAGTGTTGAGGGACTCCTGGGGAGTCTGTGTGCCCGGAGGGGAAGAAATGATGCCGTGTGGCTCTCGAGCTTTTGGGGTTCTTTCCCCTTTGTCCCCCGCTTTGTAGCATTGAAGGACAGATATTCCAATGATTCATAGACTGAACGACGAGGTGATTTTTGCATCAGGCTTAAAACAGCCCGGCTGGTTCAGAGAATGGTTCGTTGAATATTCAACTTCTTGCAGTTCCGATTGTGTGCGAACGATGGCTGAGAAATATGACTTGAATAGTAACAATTTTCAGTTCCATGGGGTGTGTCTTTGATTTGACCTTTCCTTTACTGTTGGCGCAGCCAAACGAGGGCAGAAGAGCTGTGTAACAACACTACATTTCATGGTTTTGGTGATAAGTTGCCTTCAGGAAATAACCCTGGGAGGAAAGTCAACCCAATTAGCCGTAATTGGGTTGGTTTTTCTCGTGGTTAATGGTTTCAGTGTGTCCCATCAACTGTTACTGCAAGTTGGGTAATCCTCAGTACTGTAAGCCTAGTTTAACCTTGGTCCAAAACGAAGCCCTGCACTACTTGTTTTGCATCTCTCCCTGGAAGGCGACTTCATTCCGAGGTTTTGTGCCCGTGGGTGGAATTGGTGCTTTTTGAAATCCAAGTAGAATATTCAGAAAGGCCTCGTAGCTGTTTATGTTCATCTGTATAATGTAGGGAGGGGGAAAAAAACCCCAAATCTGGTGTAAACATTTGTATTGAAATAACGTTTTCTTTCCTCCTGCAAGCAAATCTGGTGGACTGCAGAAGACATGGGATACCAAGCTCTAAATGGACCTTTGGGAAGAGAAGCTGTGGCTTATGTGGAATTTCCATGGGCCTCCTGATGGAAGAAAGCTTATCTGTTTAGTATTTGTGCATTTTACTAAAAATGGCAGCTTTAAAAAAAAAAAAAAAAGTTGTGTATCTGCTATTGTGATGCCAATGCCCGTGTTTTAAGTGGAAAAAAAAAATGACCTCTTTGCTTTGTGCTGTGTACACAAGATTGCTGGAAAAAAAGTAAAGGAATACCCTTTTTATGGCTCACACAGCTTGAAAGTAGCTGTCACTCAAACATGCGCTCACAGTTGAGCTGATTTTGTTTCATTCTAAATAAATTGTTTCTTTTGAGGAAAAATGGTTTTTCTGCCTGGGAGTTGAATTGACGACAAACGTTTGGCCCCGGTGTCGGCAGCGGAGGGGTCCCTGCTGCTGCTGCCCCGTGTCTGAGCTGATAGTTGTGGGGCTTTGAGCAAGAACAGGGGAGAGAAACCGACACCTTTTCGCGTTGACCGACCTGTTGTGCCAAAGCGGAGGAATTCTAGTTCACTGCCTTGCTGTGACCCCCCTGGTCTGTGGTGAAAAAGGGGGTCACTCGCTGCCTCACTCCTCACCGGGACAGGGAAACGGTCCTGCTGCTGGCACACAAGGAGCAGGGAAGCACCACCCTGCGTCTCACAACTGTGGCCAAGTCTTGGGGCTTCGCTGGTTGGAAGAGCCGGAGTTCCTGAATTTTTAAGTTTCTCGATTTGCTTTGTTCACCCAACGCGTTTTGCCTTTAGTTTTGATTCTTGGTTGTTGGTTTTGGTTTTTTGTTGTTTTTTTTTTTTTAATTTGGAAGAAAAAAAAAAACAGGTTCGAGATTGCTTTGAATGTTGCACGTAAAAAAAAAAGCCACCTTTGCACCAAAATTGCCAAAAGAAAAGAGAAATGAGTCCTTAAGAGTGTTTTAAGTGCTGTTAATAAAACGAGGCGCTCCTCTGTCTCCAGGGGCTTTTCAGCAGTTGTGGGTTTAGTGCTGAATGGATGAAGAGTTCCTGAGAGCTGGAGGCGGTAATTTAAACCTTTGAGTTGGTGTCTCAGTGCCTTATTTTGACCGGTTTTGAAGCCAGCACGCCTCGGATGTGCATGTACCCTGCTCACGCCCCAGGGTCCCCTTGCAGCCGCCTCCCGGGGTCAGCACAAATCGGAGGCATCCCGAAAATCCCGTGCCACGTTCTCCTGTGCCGGGGGCTCCTGGGCCGTGGAAGCTGTTCCCGAGCAGGAGCACGACTCCACGTTTGCTGCAGGAGACTTCAGGGCGTGTTGGAGGACCGTCATCAAGAGGAAGCTGCCCCTGTTGCATCGTTGGCTTCAGAACCTCTCGTGGCGTTGCTTGGGTTCAGTTAATGTGACGTGCGATGAAGACGCTTCGAGTGGCACTTTGCCCTGATTGCCTTGACATACTTTAACTTCCGTGGATAACGAACCTAGTGCTGTCATAGTGCAGGATCTGTGCTAGGATGCAGTGCCTTCCACCCTACGGATGCTCTGCAAGGTGCCTGTTCCCGGGGCAAAGCGCTGTGTAAATCCCTGAAACAGGTAAGGGGGTGGAAGAGGTTGGACTGAATTGTAATGTGAAAGAAGTTTGTTGTTCTTTTTTGATCTTGATTCTCCAGTTGACTAACTCTTACTAACGTGTTTTTTTATTCCATCGACGTGCTGCTCCACCTGCGTTGGGAACGGCAGCAATGGAGCCAATTCTGGGATGTGCTTCTGTGTTTGTTTGGGGTGTCCCGTTAACAAACAGGGCCATGTAGACCAGATTAAGGGTCCTCAGCTTGGCAAGCTGGAGCTGTTATTTGGAATTCATGAACTGCTTGAATTAACACTGCTTTAACCCAGAAGAGTGTTTGTGATCTCTGTGTGTTGATAAGGAAAAGCCAAGCCAGTGATTTGGCAAATGATCTGCTTGTGGGATGCTGGTGGTGTAATAATGTAAATTAAGCTGTTTGTTGTAAATGGGAGCAACTGTAGCTGTGTCTGGTAATGAGGGGAAGGAATTGAGGAGGGGAGACTCGGGAGATGCTGTTTCTTCTAGAAGTTGGTGTTTGTAGTTAAAATTTATGTTTTTTGCAATGTGTTCCATGTGCTGTTAAGGTCCAACCTCTGAGTCTCATTGGAAGTCTTGTACAGAAGGTTTGGGGTTGGTGGCAATAATGGCAGCTGTGTTTCAGCCTCTTTACCTAGGCTGGGGGAAGATGATCACATGAGTGATCTGTCAGTGTAACCCAAAAAAAGGGGATGTTTTTGGCACCTGCTCCAATATCCAGGTGTGCGTGTCGAGTCTTGGGGCATCTTCCCACTTTTTGGTTAAGCTTTGACTTGTAGGTGGCTGTTCCAGAAGATTTCTGCCTCTCTGCCTCAGATTTCACTGTGTGTTTAACTGGGAGATTGTTCCCTGTCTCCTTTACATTCTGTATTTATTCCAGGGACTCGGAGTTATCGTGGGATGTGGTGTGGGATGATTCTGCTGTGGACACTTTTGTGCCAGCAACTTGTTTTTCGGGTGCTGGGTCTGCCTTTTGAGAGGGTTAGAGGGATGTTCCGGAGCCCAGGCTGGTGTTAAAATCAGTCTCTTGGAAGGGTTAATGTGCACCATATTAATTTGGCTAATGAGACTTCTGGGGAAGGTGATTTCTAACGAGCACCATTTAATTTAACTGCGCTGCAGCAGAAAGCAGCGCAAGCGGATTAGTCAGGAGCCAGTTATTGGAATTCACACTTTTTTTAGGACTGTGCTTTTACCAGCTGCAGCTGAATTAATAAGTCTCAAACATCAGATGGCCCAGATTCTGCTCTTGGCCAATAACAAGCTTATGTTGGCCTTATCCTGCTGGTTTTACTGCAAGATGGCAAATGCTCCTGGAGGATTCACTCCTGCCACGTGTCACGGGGGCTGGGACAAGACCAGAAAGGTTTTGGTGGAAACCAAGGGGTCTGCAGAAAGAGCAGGGAGAGGAGTAAAAAGATTCTTGAGGTGATGGATTTGTGACTCCCATGGGGTCTCCTGCAGTTACTGGCTCAGAGCTGTGTGCTGAGTGTGATTAGACCTGGCCTGGGATCCGGGTGAGGTGTAAACTCCTAAGGCAGAGTCAGTTTTGAGGGACTGGATCAGCTCCACACGGAGTGATGGGTTTAAGAAGAGCCTCCTATTTGTCTGTGTGCTGGTGGAGTTGAGGTGCCTCTGGTAGGAGCAGAGAACATGAATGCAGTGGCCCAAAGGTCTCCTCTTTGTCAGTCCCGCTCCGGGAATGTGCTGATTAGCCGTGGTTGGAACACAGAGGTGTGGATGTGGGAAAGGTGCTGCTGTTGCTGCAGGTTAATGAGTTGCCACCTCCCAGCCCTGCTCCTCTTCCCAAGCCCTGTGTGTTGTCCTGGGTGGGGATGGGATGGGATGTGTGTGCCCGTGGCCGGCTCAGAGCAGCGGATGAGCTGGAGATTAATTGTGGGTCAGGGCAGTTTTATCTCCTTATCTCCCTGCCTTGACCTTCACACCCAGTTCTGCAATTGGATCTGGAGATTTTCAGTTCTCTTCAGTATTTCCTGTCCCCAGATCCGGTGATAGGTCAGCCTGACTTTTAGCAATGCTCACAATTCAACCCAGCCCCAAACTGGCAGATTTCCCTGGCACTTCCCAGTGATCCTTCAGCCTGTATCTGCTTTCATGGGCACGTTCTGCATTCCCAGCCTGTAAAATTAGACATTTGAGGGGTGTCTGAGGACACACATGGGGTGCAGGAGGGTTTGAGTGAAGGGACACCAGTGGAGTCTCACAGGGGGGCTGTTAAGCTCTGGTTGCCCGTGGAGAGGACCCTGGTGCTCTCTGCACCATGGTGGGCTTTGCAGCCCCCTTTGGCTGTTGCCAGGCCAGCCTGGGGTGCTCCAGCTCTGACCTGGGCTGGGCAGAGGTTTGGGGCAGGGTGAGGTCTTGAACCCCCTGTTGAGCTGAGGCTTGTGGGGAGGACGTGGTGAGAAAGGGGATGTTGGTGTTCCTCGTGCTGCTCCTCTCGGGTGGATGAACACAAGGCTGTGTCCAAGAGTACAGGACTCTCCATCAGGAACTGCAGTGACAGCACAAGGAGGAATAAGTTCAAACTGAAAAGGGGGAAATTTAGCTTAGAGATATGGAAGACTGTGGTTGCCCCATCCCTGGGGGTGTCCAAGACCAGGTTGGACAGGACTTGGAGCAACCTGGGCTAGTGAAAGGTGTCCCTGCCCATGGCAGGGGGTGGAATTGGATTAATTTTAAGGTCCCTTCCCACCCAAACCATTCCAGGATTCTAAGACCTACTTTTTCCCATCTGCCAGCTCAGCTTTCTCCTGTGGCACAGATTCATTCCTGGCTCTCAGATATCTGAAGTGCCTTTGCTCTTCCTCCAGGCACTCAGAGCTGCATCCCAGCAGCAGTTGGAGTCTGGGAGAGCCCAATCCCAGATATCCCGTCCCTGTGACCACCCTTGTCTCAGCCAGGGGGGCTGTGACTCCCTTTCCCTGCCTGACCAAAGGCTGGAGCTCAGTTTATCGATGTTTTATTCATCACTGGAGTGCTGTAAAGACACTCTTTGCCTCTTCCATTCCAGGGTACAATCCCTGCTCCATTGGGCCCACGTGAGGAATATCTGTAGGGGAAAGTTTTGCAAAGCTTGGTGGTGGCTTTGGAGGCAAAGTCTGCTTTGGCAATGGGACTTTGGCCCATGAATTACTTCTGGAATTGCCCGTGGCCATGAGCAAGAGCTCCCATCTCCTTGTCATTACTGCAGGCTGGGAAGTTCTTCCATGAGGATCCCTCAGCTAAAGCCGAAACTTCTGATTTTCCAAACACTTGATTTGATTTTTGTTCATTACAGTTGCTGCTAAATTCCCATGGACTTCATTGAAAACCACTGTGGTACCTTTAAAGCTTTTTATTGTTATTTTCTAAACACCTCCCACCTCCTGGGGAGGCTTTTATCTCCCTGGAAGTGAAACTTTTTAATCCAAACTCTGCTGAATTTCAGCCTAATGATGTTCTGTGTTGTAAACACGGCTGCAGGGCTGGAACCAGCTCCCAAAAAAGCCAAATGTTCCTGTTGTCAGTGGGTTTGAGGGCGAGTAAACAGCAGAAACCACACATGGTCTCTGGCAAGGCGGGTGAAGGAGGAGCAGCCCTGTTTCCTGTTGCTGGAAGGCCCTGTTATGGGATCCTCACCCAGCTCTTTGAAATTGCTTTGTGCTTTTGTCATGTGGCCTGAGGGAAAAGCAGAAACCTCAGGAGTGTTGGGAGCTGGAGCATCTCTGGGGTGTGTCGTGGCCACCACCCCAAACCCAGGCCAGACA